ACTCTGGTGGCCTTCAAGCATAATCCCAAAATATTTCCTCAGCAGGACCTCTCAGTGAGCAGGATGGATGGCTTGCTCTCCACGGGCTTTTATTCAGCAATTCTCATTGTCCGCTACATGGCTCCGAGCACTATTTACTGAACGGCGTCCAAACTCGGCACTGAATGCAGATGTATTCCTCTCCTCTTGGGGGTTTCAGCAGTGCTATTCACCCCAATGCTTTAAAAATCATTAAGAGCCATGTTCCTTCTAAACTGATGGCTCCCAGTGCAAGTGTTCCACACCCACTTCAGGGGTACCATGCCATTTTGGGGCCTCACTATTTATCCTGGACGCAGAGTTGCTCTCGGTGCTTCTCAATCCCAAGCCAGCCCCACTGGCATGCAGCACCCTGTTGCACAACATCAGCATGCTTTATGCCTCTAGCTCTCATTCATTCTCACATCCACCCTTCTCCACAGCTTGCTTCTTTGTCCTGCCCCTTGTGGGGACCCTCCACCCTGCCAGCAGTAATCCTGAAGTGCTGTGGTTCCCTAAGCCTCTCTGGTTCCCACACCTGGCATGGGAGACTGAAAAAGCCATGGCTAATGTTTGCAGAAATGCTCACTGGGTTTTGTGTGGTCAGTCCAAAACATTTCACCATACTGTTTTGGCAAGGTGCTGTGTGGAAGAGACCACCCTGTGGATCCCAAGCACGGGGGTAAGCGTTATCTGCTTCACAAAGTGCCTCACCAAGCTGAGCCCCAGACAAGAAGACAGAATATTATTATTGCTGTTGAGGTGGTGGCGTTTGCAGTTGTCACGGCTGCTTCAAACTGTCGCCTTTAGGATCTGACAGCCTTGCCTCCCGAGCTCATAGTGCGTGTGACCCTTAGAGGCCAAAGTGATGATTCATGAAGGACGAAGATCTTGTCAAGATCCTTGTTCTCTGGATGCTAAACAAAATACCCAGATCCCCAAGGTTTGTGGTTTGAGGAAAAACCTCTGTGGCAGCTACAGTGGTTAGTATTGCTGAGATCTTTTGGATGAGCAACGTGTGACACCAAGTTTATGTAACCGCAGTGTCAAGCCCCAAATGGTTTTCATGTCATCATCTTCCATAACCAGGTCAGCTGCTTCAGTTCAAAAGCTTGACTTAAATTAATTACCAGGATTTTTAGTATCATTTGTTATTTCAATAAGTGAATAGGCAGAGACTCCAATACCTTATGAAAATCATACTGGGCTTTGGTTTATTCCAAGAAGACAGCCAAAGATGGCCTGCAGTATTAATTTATGAAGAGACATCAGAGGTGGTTCAAAAGAGAAGCAGAACCAGGGCAACCATTCCTTTTCCCCACTTATAAATGCTCCCAGCCAAATTGCTGCTAGGTCAAGTCACACCCTATGCTTTCAGAGTGGTAAGCATAGGTGGAAAACAGACAAGAGAACCACGAGTGCTTGTGTGTGCTCATGCAGCAAGACCAAGGTGGGCTGGCTGCAGAACGTGGGAAATAAAATTATCTCACCTTTGAAATCAACAGATTGAAGGGCTTGGGTAAACCAGGAGCATTATAGCTGTGTGTCTTCAGGATGGATATATCACCTGGGGAGTCTGTGACCCAGCCAGGAACCAAACTTCCTGGGGTGTAGCTGGCCCTCCCTCGGATTAGGGAGATAGGACATGCCACCTTGAGATCTCTCCAGCCACATCATCCCATTGCTTTCCAGTTCTACCAGGGGACAAACAGCTGCCTGCAAAAGGAGAGGCCCTGGCTGGGATGTAGCCTTCTTAGGGAAACACAGCACAAGAAAGGTTCTGATAGTCCTGTGTGGGAGGGAATGAGATAAGTGAGGTGCTGGAGCTCGTGGCATACAAAGGGAGGCTGAAAGAGCTTTTTCTTTCAGCCTGGAGTAGAGAAAAGTTGGGAGGTAACCAATTACTCTTTGGCTTTTTTTTTTTTTTTTTTCCTTTGGTATGGAGGGCTACAGAGAAGTGAGAGCCAAATTCTTCTGACAGATACACAGTGAAATGCCTATGAAATTTGCAAGAAGGGAAATTGTGACTAGATAAAGGGAAAACCTCCTCCCTAAAGGTAGTTCAGCACTGATACAGGTTTCAGTAGGGGCTGGGGAATCTCCTCACCTTGCAATGGTCAGAAACTTCCTGGCCAAGGCTCCAAGCAGTCTCATCTAGGTCTGGAGCTAGCCCTGCTGTTAGCAGGGGTTTGAAGTCTAGACCTCCAAATATCTCATCTCAATTTTCCTGTAAACTCTTACTCTAAAAATACATGGAGCCCCACTTCCCTTTTGACACACAGCAGATAGTGGTCTCCTTGATGGAAGGAATAAGGAAGGAAGTTATAGCTGCTTCCACGCCGAGATACACAATGCTCTAGCATGCTCATCTTTGCCTAGAGAGAGAGCTTCATAATGTCCTCCTGCCAACCTGTCCAAGCTGTCTGTATTTGGTCTTCCACCAGCAGAGACAAATACTCTTCTTTTGATTAAGCTGCACAGCACCTCATAGGAATTACCCAGCACCCAAATTTTTGGACTTCTTGTCAGATGTTCATCAAGACAGTGTCCCTGACAGCCTCCTATATGAAAGATACTGGTTTCTCAAGGTTGAACAACATCCCTCTGTTCTTGAGACAGATGAGAACATGCTAGAGAAATTCGGTAGCTCTTCATCATTAAGGCTTTTCTCTGGACTCTACAGCAAGCCTAATTCAGTGACACCTCCCCTTCCAGCTCATTTATGGGTGCACACACATATTTAGGGAAAAAAAAAAAAAAAGAAAAATACTGCAGGCTTTGCGGGGGGGGGGGGGGGGGCAGGGAGGAAGAGGCAGCAGCTAATGTTAAATTATCCCTTTAACAGCTCTACATTGCTCTGCAAATGTAATTTAAACAGAGTATGATTTGAGAGGTAAAAGAAAGCAAATCCAACAAATGTTTCCATTCACAGATAGCGTCACATTGCCAGCCCATCCCCGTGCTGTTACTCATACTCCGACTGCATTCACATTACAGCACAGCAATCTGATAGAGACATCAGCTCGTACAACAGGAGTCCTCAGGTGCGGGATCAGCCGAGTGCTTGGACATTCCTACCACAAAGAAGCTGTAACCAAATCTCTGCCACTGAGCCAAAAGGAAAGCAGCATATGCATCTTCGGATGCACTGAGTGCGGACAAATATTTGCAGTGATCATGCCAGCATCCCGTATTTCTTCTATACATTGTGCCGGCAGTGAGGAACTCTTTTGATTTAGAAAAGGCACCAAGGTGAGGTACTGCTATGGCGGGATGTGTTCCCATCCCCTCAGGGCTTTCACGCACTTTCCCTGACACAGGGACGTGGGGATGCTTCACTGGCAGCAACTCTTGCCTAACAAATCCTTCCCGCACTGTAGGGACATGTAGGACATGTACACCACTTCCCTGCTGTTGCAGCCTGGCTGCATTTAAATAGGCACCGCCAAATACCTTGGGCAATTAATTGCCTTCCTTGCACAGAAAAGCCGAATGGAAGGGGCGGGGGGGGGGGTGGGGGGGGGGAAGGGGTGATGCTCTTGGGAATATGAAACGTAACAAAGTTGGGGTTTTTTTTTCCCCAAAAACTGCCCTGATTGCTAAGCAGTAGCCATACTGCTCACAAAATCCTAGTATCTAAAACAAAGAAGCAGTGAGGTGTACAGCGGGAAAAGCCAGCCCACTGCCTGCTGTATCCAAAATGCGCGTTCCTTCGGGAAAACAGCGCTGTCACGCATACAGCCGCTTTTGCGGGAGACGTGACCGCGGGGGGACCCACAGGACCCCGCGGGGTGCCGGTGCCGCCGAGGGGGGCGCGGGGGCGGGGGGAGATGGGGCAGAGCCTTCCCCCGGCGGCACCCGGACTACAGCTCCCAGAGACACGGGCGAGAGCGGGCTGCAGCCGGGCACAGCTATTCCTGCCCTGAGATGTGCGCTGTGTGCGCTGCTGATGCCCTGGAAACCAATCCCGCCTCTACCCTCGCATTCTCCCTCCCACCCTCTTCTCAGTTCTGGGCATGTGTGCCAAAGTCTTTGTCTTCTCTTCTTGGACTTAGTCCTTAGTCTATGCTGTTTAGTGAAGGATCAGCAATGAAATGCCAGTGTTTTAAATTTTTGTCTTTGGATTTTAAAGACTGTATTAGGACACAGTCAAGGGGGATTGGGACTTGCTGAGCAACCTCAGAAACAAACTCAGGCAAGAGTTAAGCAAGGGTCTGGAAACTTTCTGTAGGGAGGTGGAGCAGGAGCTGAATGTGCCCAGGAACGTGGTAGAGCTACTGACGTGAATATGATGGTGGGCAAGGTGGTTTTATCATTTATTCTCCAGTTGTATTTCTCACAGTAGCACCCCCAACCCCCCACCTTCCTTTGAGTCAGTCCAGAACAAAGCTGTTTGTTGAGCAAGCACTGGGATTTGCTGGCATCCAGCCTGCTGGGGCACTGGCTGGAGCACAGGCAGCTTTCCCCAAGTACTGCTGACTTGCCCCTGTGAAAAAAGATGGAGTGGAGAGAGACTACCCATCCCACCTACACCTCCAGTCACTGCCCTACAAACCCCTTGTGGGGGAGGACAACCAGCGTTTTCTCTCTCAAAGACTTGCCATTTCTGTCTGCCATCTGAGTCCAGCAAACAGACAGCTGGGGGCCCACCTTGAGGCCTTTACATCAGTGGGAGGCACAACTGAAGTCCGTGCACAGCAGATCTTCATGCAACACGGTTTGGTGAAGGTGACAGGGGCAAGTCATCACACATGCCTTCCCTTTGGTGCTTCCTGGCTGGTGGCCAATTGAAGAGTCTGGCTGTGGGACAAAGATGTGAAAGCGGGTGAGGGTAGCTGGGCCTTTTCTTCCCCTTGCCAGTCCCCTCTGCTTTTTTTTTTTTTGTTACCTTTCTGTGTGAGCATCTCTTGCTCTGGTGGCAAAATATCCCCACTTCCCCAACAGTGGCAACTAGAGATAAACATCAGGACAAGTCAGGCAACTCAGGTGTGAAATACATTTTAATAGAGTTTAGGGATCTGTAGTTTGTCTGTTGCTCAGCTGAGCATGGGCTGTCCACAAGGTGAAGCAGACATCATGGGCGGAGGGGAGGGTGAAGGAGTGCAAGAGGGAAGGGAACAGAGAGAAAAAGGTCACAAGAAGCAAATGAGAGCATGGGTTCGTTGAGGGATGTGCTTTAATATATTGCCCCGCAGTACTATGTGCTGAGCCAGAGACTGACAACACGCACACGCACACACACGCACACCCAGTGTGGGACAGCAGTGCACTTCAACACCAAGCTGCCGGCAAGCACAGCCCAACACAGCACAGCCCAACACGACACCGCCGGCGTGGAGGCGAGGGACGCGCGGGTCCCACCGGGGCTCGGTGCAGACACGCCCGGGGCACGGGGACGCCGTAGGCAGGACACGTACACACACCTACACACATGCACAACGAGAGCGAGCCGCTGCAACGCTCGGCTGGACGCGGCCGCGGGCGCGGCGGTGTCCGAGCACGCCGGCCGGCACACGGATGGTCACCGCACATGCTTCGGCGTACGAGGGAACACGCCGGGCAACCGCTCTCATGGTCTGGCACGTGAGCAGAGCAGCCCAGGCGTGGCCCTGCACGAACAACAGAGACACACAATGCCTAGATCCAGGAATGCTTATGGCCCCACAGCAAGGGACAGGGTGTAGGCCGCTCTCTCATCCTTCACCTGGGTACAACTAGCCAGGGACACCTGAACTCGAGGGGTTTCGAGGTGAGAGGAAACCAGGTGACAGAGTGGGGAGAAAGAGCAAAAAAGGGAGCAGTGGAGGGAAAGGGGGCTTCAGAGTCTGTGAGGTGGGAAAGAGCAGCAAGGTGGCTGTGCCCTGGGGACAACGTTCAAAGAACACTTGGGTTGCGAAAGTTGTGTCCGGCGAAGCGTGCTTCATCGCCAAGCTCTTCCTCAATCCTGCAGGAGAGAGACAGCACACATCAGGCCCTTGAAGTGAGGGAGCATTGAAGGCACCAGGGTGCTGGAGAGGCAGCTCACTTAGCAGGAAGCTGACATGTGCCCGAGGAGCTCAGCTCCTGCCTGCTGCTGTGACTGCAGGGATGCACCCTCATGCCAAAGAGGAGGAAAGGAGTCTGCCCCAGAGGCCTCCCCGGGATCCTACTGTCATCTCTGTGCCTTGTCTTTGTAACATTTCACCCACAAGCCCCGTCTCCCCTCGGGCTTTCAGCTTCTCCCACCCAGTTGGTCACTCCCCTATTCTCTCTTCTGCATTCCCATCCCTGGTGCCCTTACCTCATGAGCTGGTTGTATTTAGCCAGGCGTTCAGACCTGCAGGGAGCACCCGTCTTTATCTGTAAAGCATTCCGCAAAGCAAACACTGTTATGACTGGTACCAGTTTCACATGGCAGGGCAGGGGATTCTGTTTTGACACCCCTTTGCTTTCCTCCAGGCCTGTGCACAGCCTGGGTTTCACCTACCTGCCCGGTGCACAGTCCTACAACCAGATCAGCAATGAAGGTGTCCTCAGTCTCCCCAGACCGATGGCTCACCATCACACCCCATCCATTCTCCTGAGCCAACTTGCAGCTGCAAGGAGTGAGAAATGCAGTCAGGAGCTCCTACTACAATTAACCACCTGCACAGGGTAAGATTCAGGCACACTCTGCTCCCACTCTCAGCATCCTACACTTTGGTAGAGACACAAATCTGTTCACCCACTGCATAGCGTGACACCTGGCTGTGGTTCATCCCCAGCCCATTCACAGGACAACAAGGGCAGTGGGCTGGACTCACGCTTGGATGGCCTCTGTGACAGATCCAATCTGGTTGACTTTGAGCAGGAGGCAGTTGCAGGCTTTCTCTTCAACAGCTCGCTCGATGCGCTTGGGGTTTGTCACTGTCAGGTCATCTCCCACTATCTGAATGCCCACATTGGCAGTGAACTTAGACCAGGCCTCCCAGTCATCTTGGTCAAAGGGATCCTCAATGGAGACCACTGAAAGGACAACCAAAGAGGCACGAGTCAAAGCTGCCTCCCTTCCCACCCCTAAAACACAGAGGGTTTGTGCCTGGTCGGTGTGCAGCACCAGTGCTGATTCCCTACCGCCCCACACAGCAGCTCACCTGGGTAATCACGTACAAAGCTTTGGTAGAGGTCGCCCAGCTCATCTCCAGAAATGTAGCGGCTTGGGTCATCTGGGGACTTGAAGTCCAGGTCGTATTTGCCGTCGCGGTAGAACTCGGAGGCTGCCACATCCATACCGATGACGATCTTGTCTGTGTAGCCCGCCTTGTCAATAGCTTCCTTGAGCAGCTCCAGAGCTGAGGGGAGAATCGCAGTCAGGAGAGTCAGCCCATGCAGAGAGCTCTGCCTTTTGGTGGGAGCCTCCTTTGGGAAGGTCCCTAGAGCCACTGAGAGTCTGGTGGTGTGATGGAGAAGTAGAAGGGAGCCCAGAACGCAACAGAAACGTGCCAAGGATCTGTAGGGGCTGTGTCCAAAAGGGACAAGGAGGAATTAAAATGCAATTCCACAGCTCAAAGACAAACTTGTGGAAGGCCTTGTAAAAGTGTGCACATGCATAAAGGGTTTGTATGGAGAGGCCGTGACAGATCAAGGCCACCCCAAGGAGAAGGAGCTTAGAAACATTCCCTAACACAGGAGGTCAATGACACTGAGGCATCATCTTTTGAATCAGTCCAGGGAATGCTGTGAGCTGGGCATAGGAACCCCTAGCATTGCAGGCAGGGGTACCCCATCTCTGTAGGGCTCTCACCTTCGCTATTTTCCAGGATGTTGGGAGCAAAGCCTCCCTCATCACCCACATTGGTAGCATCTTTGCCATACTTCTCCTTGATGACACTCTTGAGGTTGTGATAGACTTCAGCCCCGATGCGCATGGCGTCGCGGAAGCTTTCGGCTCCCACAGGCAGGATCATGAACTCCTGCATGGCCAGTTTGTTGCCTGCGTGGGAACCTCCATTGATCACGTTGAAAGCCTGGAAGAGTCCATGAGAGAGTCAGAACTGAAAGAACTGGTCTTGGCACCCCTGAGAGGTGGCTCTCAGATGTGTCACCATGCCCGTTCGTGCCACATCCCACAGGGTAACATGAGCACATCAGCTTCAACCATCAGACCAAAGACACATAAGCCTGGAGTCTTCCCTCCACTAGTGGCTCAAACCACGTGGCTGGGGAGGATTTTCCCACCTGTTTCCCTCTCAGAGGTCTTCTGAGTTATGTGTGTTTATCTGTGCTCTGTTTATCTCTACATGTTTGTCAATAATACTGTCAGTCTCTCTTCCAGGACCTTTTTCCTTGACCCTGAGAAAATTTTAGCATCCACAACTCCCTTTGTGAAAGAGTTTCTCAAGGCAGCTTCCCCCTGGTGTGAAAACCCATATGCCCTTGTTTTGAACTGTGTCCCAGAGGATTCACATGATGCCCCTGGGTTCTTGTGCTAAGAACAAGATCTTCTGTCAGCCCCCCCACCACAACCTCTCCTGTATCCTCCTCAGGCGCCTTTTTTCCAATTGAAACTTGACAAACCTCGGGCCTTGGTTTGCTTCCCTGACAACTGCAGTACACTCAGCTGATGTTTCAGTCCCATATCCCTTCCTTATCTACCTCCCAACACCTTTGAAGTTTCTTTTGGAAACAACGCTCTTTTGGAGTTTCTGCAGGTGGATGTCAAGGGCTGAGGAGTCTTACCGGCACAGGAAGGATGAGGTCAGAGTTGCCGGCCAGGTCAGCGATGTGCCGGTACAGGGGCACATCCTTCTCTGCAGCTCCCGCCTTGCACACGGCCAGCGAAACTCCCAGGATAGCGTTGGCCCCAAACTTGGCTGTGGGCAAAGGAGGAGATTGACTTTTCAGGTGGCAACATCCTGCCCAGTGGGTGCCCTTGCCAGCCCAGCCTTGGGCTCACCACAGCTTGGACAGTGCCCCCACTCCAGCCCTGCAGCTTCCCATGCTCATAATTTCCCAGCCAAAAAGAGGGATGAATTACATTTGTTCTCTGTGCCATCCATCTCAAGCATCAAATTGTCTATCTTCTCTTGATCCACAACAGAGAGGCCCTGCAAGAAAGAAACAGCTCCTGAGAAGGGGATAATTAGAAGAGCTGCTGGCTCTGGTGTGCAGGAGAGGAGGTGTTGATGGAGAAGCTGGGGGTAAAAGGACCTTTTCAGCTTGTGGGGGAACATATACACACAAAGCTCTGGAAACTGGTACTGTGATATTTAGTCAAGTTAGGTAACCCTGACGGTGTTGCTGCAGTGCAGTGTAGAGGTACCCATGGTGGAGAGGGGGTCAGCTGCAGCCCAGGCAAGGGCACGCATTGCTGGGGACACAGGACGCCCTTGGGGGTTTACCCATCCTTTTGGCAGCTTCCAGGGAGCTTTGTGGTGCTGTGGTCACACAGAAGCTAGGCAGAACAACAGAATATGCTCAACCTCAAGCAAGCGAATGTAGACTGGATGAAGCCATCCCCAGGAGTGAGGTGGAGAGCAAGATTTGACTGAACACAGGCAGCCCTTCACCATGCTGGGTATTTTTCAGGGGCAGAGTGAACTGGGCTCTCAGCCAGAGCCAGCCATGGGCTACATAGCATGAAATATGTGGCTTTGGCTCAGCTCTCCTCAAAGCAGGCTCCAGATCTTCAGGTGTAAACAGGCTGCAGATGTGACACCACTGCTCTGCAAGGCTGTGCCAGACCCTGCACGGTACAGCCATTGCTCATCACACCAGGAGGAGGCCACAGACATGTGGATGTGATTCAGTGCTTGAGGGGGAGCACAGCTGAAAGAGGGGGTGAGCTCTGCAGGGAGCACCGAGGGGGCTAGTTAGGCTGCACAGATGCTGTGGTGGACCAGGAAGAGTTAAATCCTTTCCTCCCAGAGAAAAGATTGCTGTGGACACATACAGGCATGGGGGGCAGGAGGGGTGTGCCCAGGTTTACAGAGAGCATTGGTGTGTCTGTTAACCCAGTGAGATGAAGAGAGGCAGAGACAGAGATCAGGGGACAGAGACCGACCAGAGTAAGCATTGGACAGGGGAGAACAAAGAGAAATCCTTACAGAGCCCACGAGAGCTGGGGCGACAGTGCTGTTGATATGATCCACGGCCTGCAGGACCCCTAAAGAAAGGAAGAGGCAGAGAAAGAAAGAGAGAAATAGAGAGAGTGAGGCGGATAAAAGAGTGGAAAGAGGCAGGGAGAGGACCAATAGAGAGACTGAGAGAAGGAGACAGCAAGGGAAGATCAAGGCCTGATCTTTCACATTATGCTATGTCTGTGCCTCTGTGGTCTCCCTGAGGGCAGTGGGAGACATCTGTGTCACACCAGTGGGTAGGCAGTACCCTCCAGCAGAGCCCCACACACAAGCAGCCCCGAGGATGAGCTGTGGAGCAGGCATCTCCCCACCTTTTCCAAGGAAACGTGACTTGTCGTTGTCTCGCAGCTCCAGCGCTTCGTAGATACCAGTGGATGCTCCACTGGGGACGGCTGCTCGAAACATGCCTGGGAAGCAGCAAAACAGGGGTGTGAGATAAGCAGAGGGTGAAGAGGAAAAACCCCCATACACCTGCTTCTGCTCTGCTTTCATAGGAAAGGATGCAACAACTGCTTTTCCAAATGGATGGCCCCACTGGCTGGCTGCCTGTGGCTGGTCTCCCTAGAGGTGGAGCACCTCAGTGGCAGAAATAAATGCACCCAGGGCTTCCAGGCTGAGGAACTTGGATGTCAGGCACTAGAGATTCACTCTGATCCCAGACTGTGTGTGATTGGTGCAAATTCCTCAGCCCTCCTCCTAGTTCCAGAAGCAGCCTGACTCACAGCCATCCTCAGGTTCCTCTCCCTCAGACTGAGGTTTCTGCCTCGCTGAAGAAGGAAGACAATGGCTGCATGCCTGCTCTGGCCTCTCACTGCTCCTCACCCCTCAGCCCAAGCAGTTTTGGGCCCAGTGCAAATGCAGCTCTTCCAGTTGAACTCCATGCATGGACGTAGCTGATTGATTGATCTCAGGAACAAAGCTTTACTCCTGCCATGAGCATGGCCATGGATGTGCTACCAAACATCTCCTATGCCCCAGGACTAAAAGCATAGCTGCAGCAGGGGTATGATGAGAAGGTGCAGACGTTTACGATAAAAAGACCTCCCGTCCCTGCTACGGGCAGGAGCATGGCTCATGTCACACGCAGGACAGCCAGCTGTCTTGTCGTGATTTGCCCAGCATGTGTGCAGAGTTGCCGAGCACAGGCACAAGCAGAGCCACGAGCAGAGTTTTGGTCTCTGCCTCTATCCCTGACTTGTTGTCTGCTGGGGGTTCTCCCGTGAGGACCCTCCATGCTCTTGGCGCTCCAGGCTGCTGCACAGCACCAGCTCTGCCGGGGTGGGCAGGGCTTGCCCGCTGTCTCCTATCCTCACCCACGTACCTTTGTGTGTGTAGAGGTCAACCTCAACGGTGGGGTTCCCACGGGAGTCCAGGATCTCACGGGCATGGATCCTCTCGACTGCCATGGTGAGTCTGTCAAGAGGAGAGAACAGGATATGCTCAGCTCTGAGAGGCACCAGGATGTGCTGCTCACCCATCCTATGTCTAGACTGACAGAGAAAAGAGAATTTAAGGAAAAGTAACCTTAGAAATTTGGGCTAAAACTATTTGCCCCAGGAAATTTAGAAATTCACCCAGACTACAGGAATCTATGAAGATTTTTCCAGGACCTGGCTGTCTATTTGAATTTACCCTGTCCCTCTGCTGCATCTGAAAAACTCGGAGCAGTCTGCCTCTCCCTGCGTCACAGCACAGCGCCCGACACAAGCCTGGATGGCAGAGATGGGGAGGATGCCACGGGCAGCAGAGAGGGAGGGATCAGCTGGTGCAGCGGGGAGGTGCCCCTGGCTCTGGTGTCAAGGACGGGGCAGCAGCTCCGGCATCTCCTGTCCCCTTGCCGAGAGGCCAGGACGGCGCCTGCCAGGCCAGACAACAACGGCTGCTGTGTCCCTGTGCAGGGAATGGGGAGCCAGCGCAGCGTGACAGGCAGGGCAGGGGCAGCCAGCCAGGGCGGACCCCCAGCCCCTCTCCAGCCCACAGCAGGGAAGCCATCCCATCCTGGCTGTCCAGACCCCAGCCTGGCTGTCCCAGACCCCAACCATGTCCCCCCTGCCGAGCTCCTGCTCAGTGTCCCTGTGTCCCGTGGGTTGTGGGGTCAGGCTGCGCCAAGGCAGGGGAGTGTGGAGCCTGGCAGCCTGGAGCCATCTTGTTGAAGGCCACAGCACCTCAGACGTGGTAAAGAGGGCTCTGAACAGAGGGGGTACCTGGCCCAGCTGCCAACCCTTCGCTCCGCTCCTGAGGCAGGGAAGCAGATGAGACTGGGCTGGATCTCTGTTGGGTGGGGGACATGAGGAAGCCTGGCATTTTGGGGGACCTGGTTAAACCTGAAGTAGAAAACATGCTGGTGGGTAATGATGGCTGTTTGAAAGAGCTTCTCTTTGCTGCAGTTTGCTCTCCAGGGTTCCAAATCAGCTCCTCATGCCACCTTCTCTTTCCCCTGGCTGTGGGGCTGTGCTGTGCTGGGGGGCTGCAATGAGGCGTGTGTCCCTCCGTGCTCCCAAGTTTTCCTCCCTTGGCTCCCACAGATGATTTCCTCAGCTGTGAGCAGGGCTGGCAGAGGCCAGAGTAGCCACGGAGCCCCAGCCAGGACCTCCCCATGGTGTGTGTGAGCAGGGGTACAGCCAGCACAGGGCCTCAGCACCGGGCAGGGGAGAATGAGCTTGAACAGCACATCACAGCACCGAGGGGAGCTGAGAAGCAGGGTGGGGAAGCCAGAGCCAGCACCCAATGCCCCGGTGGGTGGAAATCACAAGGGTGTGAGGAAATCGTGCTGCCACTCTGAAGTTTCAGCCAGAGCTTCTCATGTGGGGAGTTGTGGCCAGTGACTCCAGGGTTCTCTGGAGCCTGCACAGGGCCCTCCACCATGTCCATCTGGGCTGGGATCCCCCATCAGCCGCTTTGGCACTGCTCCTCACGCCATCTGGCACACGCCACAGGAACTTCCTCCAGAGTCGTGCCAGCACAGCCAGCCGTGAGCTTCCTTTGCAACAGTGTCCTGGCCGTGCCTCAGGAGCCTCCACGGGGTACAGAGGGACAGGACCCCGCTTAAAGTCATCTTTGACAGCACACCCGTGCCAGATGCTGTGGCTCACTGCTTATCTGGTCACGTTGCCCCTGGTCACATCCCTGTGGTCACATCCACCTGCCCTCTTGGAGCCAGATCCGAGGAAGCCAAATGACAAGCCCAAATCCAGCCTTGCCTGCCCCACCCCATCACTTACATGACCTTCTCTCCCTCACAGACGTTTAAAGCCTTTTCTGCACTTGTGTTGCTGCCCCGTGTCCCCTGCATTTGCTCTCTTTTGAACAGAACCACCCTGAAATCGCTGGTATCAGCTGCACTGTCCTGAAAGGAGGTCAGAGGCGGATAAGCTGGGATAAGGGATTGGGATGGAGCCCCGGCTGGGAAGCCACAGACCACATCCAGGAAGAGAGAGGAGGCTGTGCAGCCCCCATGAACAGGGGCTGGGCAGCGTACGCCGGTAGGCTGGTGCTGCTGCAATGCCTTCCTGTGGAGCTGGCGCTGGCAGCAATTCCCTGTCCCTGCCAGGCCAGCACGGTGAAGACCCTTCCCCTTAGGCACGGCCACCAGTCCCGTGTGCTGCCGCGATTCCCCCGGGCTGGGCACTGCTCCCGGGAAGCCCGCACTGCTGCAGTGTCGTGACTGATGCAGCTACTGCTTGCCTGACTGTCACCTCCTCTCCCTGCTCTCCCCCTCCCCTGTGGTGTGGGGCTGTGCAAACAGGAAAACGTCCCCTCTTCTCCCTCCCTCTCCCCCAGGGACGTGTTGTTTATGGCTACACCTCGGGAGGCTGGGGGGGGCTGGTCCGCTCTGAGGCTGGATCCTTTCCCCAGCGGTGCCTTCTCCCCACTACCACCCCCTCCCCCGGGGAAAGCTCCATCCCGCAGCACCTCCCGACAGTGCCCTTGCGAGCACCACCTATGCTCGCTGGTTGTCCCCCCTCCTGCAATTCCCTGGGTTCACGTCTGAAATGATGATTGCCGCGAGGGGAAAGGGCGGGGGTGGGGGGCTTGGGAAGGAGGGAGTACCTGAAATTAAAATATGAAAGAAAAGTCAGAAGGATGGGGGTGAGGAGACCGAGGTGGGAGGAGCAGGGGAGGAAGCGAGGGGAGTTGAGTTGTTAATGCTGCTCACCGTGGTCCTTCTCCGCAGGGACCCCAAAGTGCGTGTGGGGTTTGGAGGGCACAAGGTGGGCAGCAGAAACATGCACGCGGTGAGGGGTGTGCTGGCCGTGGGGAGACACTTACCTTCCTAGGGCAGGGGTGGACGAGAGACTGAGAAAGTGGTGGTAGAAAGGAGAGAGGACGAAGCTGAGGAGGGATGCAGGACCTCAAGGGGAGATGATGTGTCCTCTAAGCCAACGGTGGCGGCAGCAGCAGGATGGAGACGCCCCTGATAGGGCCGGGACAGCAGCATGTGACCCAGAGCTGCGATGAGTCAGGATTTAGCAAAGCTTTGCAAACAGCACGTAGGGGATGGAGAGACAGAGAGAGGCAGGCAGCAAGGGAGAGACGTAGACAGATGAGGGTGAGAGAGCCAGGCAATAGGAGTGGGTGTGCAGGATAAACAATCCCAGTCACTCCTGGCTCATTAATTATTTTTATTCAAATCAGAAAATCTTGCAGGGTTTTTGGAAATCAAATCGAACCACAGAACCTGTAACTCTTCCCTTTCCCCTCTCAGGCCTACTGAGAATAGAACACAGCACAGTGACTGCAAAAACACTGCAGTGCCTCAGGGCAGCTTCCAGGACCAGGGTGAGTAGCACTCCTCTTTTCTCCAGAGGTAAAATGAGGTGAAGCTGGTACCTACAGCTCTCACTTTCTCAGCCTCACAAATGGGGAAAAACATCACTACATCTTGACAGCCTCTGGGAACAGGTGTTAAAAACAGGTCACTCAGCCACTGTATCCTCAAGAGATTCTTCCATTTCCTGAAGAAGAGAAGAGGGAGAAGTTAATGACTACATGCCCGATGTCTCTTCCCCTTTCACTGCCCTCTTCTGCTAGCGGGGTCAGGAATGGCAGCAGGGCTGCATGCTGGCCACCACAACCATGTTGCAAAGCCTGGCCTCTTTTTCAGGCTCTTGTGCTCTTGAGACTGACATCCCTTACCCTTCTCCTCATGTAATATCGTGGAGGAGAGCCTTTATCAGGATGCTTGGTCTTTTTTCTTTCTCTTTACCTCCTTCTAATCCCCACACTCCATCGTTCTCACCTTTTCTTTTTCCTTCCTTGCCTGACAGATTTTCTCAGCCTCTTCCCTCTCCTCTTCCTCGATCGATTCCTTGTCGAGGCGCTGCAGCTGTGGCAGCCGGGACAGGACCTCCAGGCGATAAGTGGGTTCTTCAGCACATGGATTGTCCATCAGCACCAGTGCCTGCAGCATGGGGAGCACCTGCAGCTTTTCCACCTCCTGAAAGCTTTTGATCCCATTGCTCCTGAAGAAAAGGAAGCACAGACAGCAGGGGAGGGAGACCCGTGCAAGCAGTGAAATCCCTTTGGAAAAATAAGTGGACAAGACAGAAAAAGCAAAACTTAGCAGCATGAGGCCTTAGACCACAGATCTGTCACCTAAGATCCAGATCTGTCTGCAGCTCCCCAGACTGAGGCACAAAAAGGATATCTCCTCTGGATTTCTCTGTCCACTGTGTGACAGCACCATGGCCCACATGGCAAACACCAAGAACTAAAGGGCATTTGCAGGCAGAACACAGAGAACACGCTTTCAGGGACCCAACTGACTTATGGCAAGGAATGAAAAGCCTGAGGTGGGGTATGAGAATGACTGGAGGGGCTGATATTTTCTAAGAAGCCCAGGAAAAGCCCTGGCTGTTACAGCCTAGACAGCTGCTGAACACCAGTTAAGGATGGTAAATATCAACCCATCCCTACCAGGTCTTCCATTCCAAAAAAAAACCCCAGAAAATCCTAAAGATCTAAATGGGAGTGCAGACTGATGAAGGGATCTCTGGTCCCAACACAGAGCAGGGAGGACATACCGTAGATTGAGGTACTGTAGGCACTTCATGCTATTAGAGAATCCATCCAGGGCCTCAAGCTTATTGTCACGTAGGTGCAGAGTCTCCAGCTGCTCAAACTCCTCAAGGCCTTCAAGGCTGCAAATAGTGTTCTTGGCCTGAGCACCAGGGAAGCAGGAAGAGAGAAAGAAAATGGGGACACAAAGGAGAGGGAACGGCAGTTATTTCCAGCCTTTAAATCTCTTTCTATCCTTTAGACTCCCTACCACTCATAACACAGCCTTGTCTGAAGCTTGATCAGATAGCTCAGGGTCTTGGCCAAGTGAGTTCTCAAGATTCAGATTCAAGGATCAAAAGTTTGCTGAAAAAGTGTTTCCTGGAGCATCACTTGGTGTCTGAGACAAAACCACCCCACGTGAATACTCCACTGCCAGCACAGCATCCCTTTCCGTGGCAACAGCAACAGCATGGAGGGGAAAGCACACCTGAGCCTAAAATGAATGTGTTTAAAGGATGTGTAACTAGCCCCTCTCTGTCACACAGTCCATGTAGTCCAGGCACCTTACGTGGGGAAAATCTACAACAAAGAAGTCCCTTCAACTCCTCCAGCCTGTGTCTTTCTTCAGGAAGTTTAAAATTCCCCATCACTGAATTCCATTCACTTCACTGGAATGCGGATTAACGAAGCAGGGAAATAGGAAAGCTCTGAATTTTAGGTACTAGTTTCACAGCAGGATTTCAGCTGGAAAAGACCACTAGAGGTCTTCTGCCCAAGCGGAGGCTCGCCGCAGTGGCCGCACCTCCGCTCTGCCCTGTCAGGCTGCTCACCGCCTTGTGCGGTCAAGTTTGGAGCATCCCTGGTAATTATCATCTCCCCGCCACGTTCTCCAGCCTGGAGCTGAGCAGGGCTTTCCTTGCCGAGGTGGCTCGGGGCTGCAGTCGCTAAGGATGCTGAAACCTGAATGGAAAACGGGGTGAGAGGTGCTGTTGTGCTCTCTCTTCCTCATAGGTACCCAAGCAATGACCTGGGCAATACCTGAGACAGGCTGAACTGGTGGGATAGGAGAACAGTTTAGGGCTGAATTATTTAGGATACGGACATTTTGTAGGAAAGGAGGATTTTAATAGAAACTGGACAAAGAAGAATCTGGACCAAGGGGGCCAAGTAAAAGGAGTAACACCAGGACAAAAAGAAGAAAGTTAGATATTTAGTGAAGGCCACGTGAGCAGATTTATCAATCAGGAAGGATTAGGACATTGTACCTCAGAGAAAATGGTGAGCTGGTGTGAGTGGGGAGCTCACTGATCGCTGGTTTACAAAAGGAATAGTAACCTCTCAACACTCTCACTTTCTTTATCGCTTCAGTGTGAATTGTTTTACCAGCTCTAGGCTTGCAAGCACTAGCAGGACAATGCAGAATGAATATTTTTCAGAGTTGTTCCATCTTTCTCCCCTAAATCAAACAACATTCTGTCTGTCACGCCATCACCTTCCCTCGGATACCAGTTCTTCACCCAGATGTGATGCCACTGTTTCTTATGGAAAGTTACCATACATTGCCCATGATCTCTTCTCCCCTTCCTGCACACTCCACCTTTTTCGGGTTAGCCTTTGCCACCATGGCTGCACCATGGGCAGGAGCTAACACAGTCCGACTGTGATCCTCAAAAATGATGCAAATGCCACATGGCACACACCCAGCTTGTAGTCTTCCTAGCACATACCACTTTTTACATATGAAATTTCACCTGTGGCTATGTCATACATTAACCAAATGTGGTTCAATTCCTTAAATTGAACCCTTTGTCTTGAACCCTGTCCTTGAGGCATCAGCTGCACTTATCCAAGGCTGAAATAACACCAAAGTCTTTACACAGAAACCAAAGCATCACTGGGGGAGATTTCCCTGCAAAATAATTTAATGAGCAGGTAGACATGGGAGATAAATTCAAGCCCCAAATATTCTTGTGAGTCAGTTTTTCTAGTTTCAAAAATCACCCCTTGCAATTTTCCTGTTTCACATGGTGCTCAGAAACCCCTCAGTCATGCCAGGAACCTTCCCTCAGCAGAAATGGCCTGTTTGCTTCCCTGCAATAACTCACTAAGGTGACTGGGTATGCTTTGAAATTCTGTATTGTATCTAGTGACTTATCCACTTCATCCATTCTTGGAGCACCTCCAGTCATAGAATCCCAGTTTCTCATCAGAAAATTGCAGATGATCTCAGCAAGCAATCTCCTCAGTGTTTTCTGCCAGGGAATATTGATGAAAAGAAGCCACATAGTTTTTCAAAGCCTTTATCATCTTTAATTGCTTTTCAAGAGGTAGTGACTCAAGACATCTGTTTAGTCTTTGCAAACTGTAACACAGTGTAATCCATGGGGCTAAACCATACATACTTTCTTCACTTGCATCTCTAGGAATAAATGCTTCCTTGAAGTAATTGTTTATGATACTAAGAAACTGCTTCTCCTATCTTAGTTTCACTGCAATATTGAATAAATTTATTTTTTGGCAGGTGTAGGTGTGAATCACATAATTGTGCTGGCTTTAAACCAGTATTTGATTAGGCCCATCAGAGAGGAGAAAGAGACATTGCCTCCTTTTGTCACCCAAAGAGCAAAGCTGTTGCTTGCCCAGTGATCTCCAGTGGTCCCAGGGCACACGGAATACCAGCTTGCCCCAACACTGCCTGAAGGGAAAGCTGCCCTCCTGCAGGAGGCTGTGAAGGAAGAACCTGATGCCCCCAACATCAACTCCTCTGTGATTTGTGGTTCATGGCCACTCCCTTTGTGCTATCTGGGCTGCAGGGGCTGGGCTCTGCAGCAGCTCTGTCTGTCCCACTCCCCAGGATGGCTGATCCCTTACCAGATAGAGCTTCTTGAGCTTGGAAACGCCGAGACCTGCTGTGGTCTTTATCCTGTTTCCTCGCAGCTCCAGGACCTCCAGGCTGAACAACTGGTTGTGACTCAGGCCCTGCACTGTCTCGATTTTATTTTCTGAGTGCCAGAGGAAGAAGAAACAAGGAGTTAATCCCACCTTTCTAAGAGAGTGTCCCCACAAGACAGGTAGACTATATCACCTTTCAGGCTGAGGTTGGCTAGGAGGGGGTGAGTAATGCCCTCAAAATCCATGATGCGGTTGCGATCAAAGCTGATGACTTGGAGGTAGGGCAGCTCCTGCATGCTGGCACTGGTGAGCAGATTCCCATCCACCTTCAGCCAAAGCAGCTGGGTTAGGCTGCTCAGTGGGGCCAAATCTTTCAGCTTGTTCTTTGACAAATCCACATACCGCAAGTGAATGAAGCCTTCGAGGAGGCTGATATCTGTCAGGCCCCTGAGGGAGAGTGAATGTGAATAAAATATCTCTCATATTTCCCCACTACTACCATCTTTTGGATTTCTCCTTGCCACTACTGGAGGGAGGGCAACCACCTCTCCTACTTCCCTGCTGCTAGAAAGCTCTGCTGAGAGAAGGAAGAAAAAGGCAGGTGATAGGGACAGGCCTGTAAGCAAAGATGAATGGTAAGACTGGACATGCTTTCTTGGCAGAGGGAATACTTATTCCCATTAAATTGTATCTGTCAGGACAGGGCACAACCAGAGCAGAGAAAAGGGTAAGTTTTGGGGAGGGGTCTGTTAGACAATAGTGTCAACACAAAGGACTGTGTGGAAGGACTTTTCTAGTGGAAAAAATAGTGGTTGAGATACCCTATGGGGCTGCTGAAAGAAACAGTCTTAATGGGGCCTTAGTTGAATGGCTCTGCTAGGGAGGCTGAGGCTCCAAACTGTTCCAAGGCTGTTGTGGCAGAGTACTTAGAGTTGCCTGCCTTAAAGGTTAGCAATTAGGAGGACAGTTGTGAATGGGTATTTCTCAAAGTGCCAGTAATGGAGGTCACTCTGTTCAGGCCCCCTAGGAGAGTGCAGTCCAGAGCAAATGGGCAGGCTGGCATCAGCCTTAGGGGACACTGATGTTCCCAGAGGTGTGTCTGGAGGCAGTGCCCAGGGCTGAGGATGGACAGGCTGTGCTGAAGCCCAGACGGGAATGCAGGCGGCTGGAGAGCAGGGCCTGGATACGCTCCTACCCCGCATGGCTGGTCCGGCACAGCGGCTTCTGCCGGGTCAGGCACTGCACACTCACTTGTTTTTGGCTTCAAACTTCACATAGGCGTGGGCCAGCCCGTTGCTGGTCTTACTGAGGAGAGAGAGGCCCTCCTTGAGGTGTTCCTCCGTCAGGGGACAGGGAACCGGCTCCTGGGAGAGAAGGAGAGCACAAAGCCAGCGCTGGCCCAGCCACAGCCGGGCGGTGCTGAAAGCCTCCTCCTCACCTCTTCTTCCTTCTCCTCATCCTCCTCCTTCTCCTCCCCCTGTTCCTTCTTCTCCTCCTCCTCCGGCTCCTCGTCCTCCATCCCGCCGGGGCAGGCCGCGCTGGCCGGGGCGCGGCCGCTGCCACGGGAACGGGGGCGGGCCCGTCCCCGGGGCTCGGAGGGCTCGGAGCGTGTCCCGCCCTCACCACGGGCGCTTTGCGATCCCGCTCCGCCTTCCCGGCTGGGTGACATCTGCCGCGGTGAGCGTATCCACAGAACAGCGGGATTTTTTCTGTGGGAAGGGACCTCTGTGCGCACCCAGCTCAAAACGGGGCCCGTTCAAAGTCAGGCAGGGTGGTGGGCACTCGGGCGGTGAATGCCTAATTAACGCTTAATTTACCCTCTAGTAAATGTTTAATTAACATGTTGAGCAGAATTAGTCTTGGGCTTTGCATGAAGCCTCCCGATTATGAGCACGTGGATGCCAGGAAGGGGTTTTTGGGGTGCACTGCTCCAGCCCTGTCCTCCAGGCTGTGGGGCTGGGAAGGGCTGAGGCTGCCCGTGCCCAGCCGATGCCAACAGCACTGGGTGTTTACCAGCCAGGAATGCGACTCAGAGCTGATGGTCAGCAGTGTTGTGCAGTTCATACAAAGTCCAAGGCTCTTTCACTTCAGTGCACTTTGCTCCTTTATAGTGCCTGGGTAACATTAGTGCTAGGTAAGCTGCTTCAAGCAGAGCTGCTCACACAACCATCAGCCGTCGCCCTTGCTGCAAAGCACCCCTGCACTCCAGGCTGCACAGCAAACTGCCCCCTGCCTTGTCCCGCTAGACTCCCCGGTGCTGACCTCTTCTGTGCCACACATCTGAATGTGAATCTGAATTCACTCCCTGCTCATTACCACACAACCACAGATTGGTTCGGATTGGAAGGAACCACAAAAATCTGCTCGTCTCAATCCCCCTGCCATGGGGGGGGATGTCACCCACTAGACCAGGTTGCTGAGGGCTCCATGCAACCCAGCCTTGAACACCCCCAAGGATGGGGCAGCCACAACTCCAGGGCAACCTGTTCCAGTGCCTCACCACCCTCAGAGTAAAGAATTAATCTGCATATGAACACTTCCTTACCTGCCTTTGCCTCCTGCCCTAAACATCCCCTAATTACAGAAAGAAACATGAATCTTTAAACTAGAAAAATTTTGTTTAGATTATATCTATCCCAAACCTAATTATACTGACAATTAAGGAGGGTATGTGCTAAAAGCTGGCCTGCACACCCCCACAGGAGCACAGGCGGTGATGGCAGGAGGGAGAGCCCAAGCAGCACCCGCCAGGCTGCTTCCAGGCCCGTCCCAGGAGCCATCAGCCCAATAAAGGCTCACTTCGAGGGGCACAGGGGCACAATGGCTGGTGGGAACCCAAATTAAGGACTCACAGAAAGGAACACCCTGTCCAGTGCCATCCCAGGGGAGCCTCAGCCCCAGAGCACCTTTAGGATTGGGGGCGTCGCTGTCTTCAAGGGTGTGGGACAGGACAAGATGCAGGGGAAGAGATTTGGGGATTGCACAGGACTCATCGGGGAGTGATTAGATGCGGTATTCCATAATTAGAGCAGGAGCCAGGGTGACCTAGGTCACATAGAGAAACAAATACAGCACAGAGGAATAAAAAGGGCCAGTCCTGTGTAAATGGTTTGTGATGATTTGTCCATGTCCTGCACCTGATCAGCACAGCCTGTCAGGTCTTCTCATTAAACTCCTTTTGCACTTTGCCCTGCATGAGGAACTCGTGGTCAGAGCACCACAGGGAGCTGCTGCTGGGGGCTGGAGAAGTTGGGATTGAGGGGCAGCTCCTGGGCACTGCCTGAAGCAGCTGCTGGAAGGAGACCCACTGCACACGTGTGGAAATTCTTCTGTAAATACACAGATGGACACAGACGCTCACTAGTGCACCTCTGTCCTGCTCAGCTGGAGCAGGGCGTGGGATGAGGCTGCCAGTGCTGTGTGGGAGTGCTCTGTGTGGATAGATCTGTGTGGCCAGCCATGGCCGTGTTTAAGTGCAATATATTCAAAGCCACAGAATATTCTGAGTTTAAAGGGATACCCACAAAGATGATTGAGTCCAACATGTGTGTGGTGCCTACTGGGAATACAGGCTCAGCCTGGCTATTGTTTGGGGCTGAGGATGCGAAGCCATCGCAGCCTCTCTCAGGCTGTCACATCTGGCACAGTGCGTTTTTCTCCAACAGCAACCTGTTTAACATCCAACCACTACAGTTTGCTGTGAGGATCTGGCAGTATTTCCACTCCAGAGAGCTGCAGTCCTGCCAGGAAGCAGACAAAAAAAAAGAGAAACAAGATCTGGCACTCCTGCTGATACAGAAATTATTTTCCATGAGTTTATTCCTCATTAAATGAATGTTTTCATGCCCCTGAATTCTCTCAAAGCAGTAAGATCAATGCCCAAGCTCCCATCTGTTTTCTTCTATGTAGGTCACTCTCCTGAGCTCTTGTGCTGTGGGCAGGGCTGGGCAAGAACAGGAGCAGATAGCAGAGCTGCAGCGGGTGGTGGCCCAGCCCTGAGCGATTGTACCCAGTTCCTGCAGCCATAGGATCACTGTGTGCCGCTGCTGCATCACTGCTGCTCTGGTCTGCATGACCCAACAGCCCCAACATACAGCCATGGCCCAGCAGCCTCTCAGAAACATGTGCTCTGGTTATAGAAAATAGTTTTCAGATTTTTTTTTTTCTGCCTTTGAATCATCCTCCTCCTTTCTACATCACTACACAGACATACAGAGCTGGGAGCTGCCACCTCCTTGCTGCTGTCAGGCCCTTCCTTCTCTTACCACCTGATATCCTAGGAAGGAGATCCTTCCCATCCAGCTGGGCAGCAGGAGCCCCCCCAGCATCAGGGGCTTTTTCCTCCTTGCTCCTCAGATCTGGCCCCTTATCCCTCGAGTGATGCTAGCACTAGCAGCTGGAACACTGTCCATAGGCTCCCAAGGATGTACTGCCTCACAAATAAGCTCCTCCTTGTGGGGCACTTCTTTTTCATCACCCTCAGTACTACCAAAAAAACCCCAGCAGCTAGCTGGGAAGTAACATCAAGTCTTGCTTCCTCACCCACCAGCACATGGCTGAAAGCAAGCAGCAAGTACTGCCCCAACACAAGGCCTAAATAAAATCCTCCCTGCAGAGACTGAGCTGCTCCACTCTACATTTAATGAGCAAAATCAATTACCAATCCTTACAGGCAAAGCGCATAGATGAGCCTGTAACATTACTGAGCCTGCCAGGGAAGACTGGCTCACTGGTGGAACAGCCAGGTGCTCCAGCAGCTACTGGAATAGAGACATAGATATAACAGAATCACCACAGGCCCAAAGAAGAGCTGTTATATGACAGAAGCAAGATGAAGGTTGAACCCATGCAGTGCCTACTGGGGTAATAGTGGGCTCTTAGGGAAAAACCCACAAAACCCTCTCTGCAACCAGCCACCTCCAAAAGCAGTAAGTTCTCTATGCTGCTTGTCCCCGAGATGCTTCCAAATAAGATCCAGGACACACCTTTGCTTTTTCTGTTTTTCATTTATTGTTCAGTACGGGACACAGGTGAGGTAAGACATCTCACAAGGGTCTAAGCTGAGAGGTTCCTTGCTGATGGAGCTGAAGGATGCAAGAGACTGTGGTTCCTTTTTCCTCCCCACAGCACCAGCAGCTCCCTGTCCCTGCAGGGCTGCAGAGAAAGGGAGAGATACTGGCCAGGTGGGCTGTGAGCTCTGAACAGGTCAACGGGAAACTGAGGATTCAGCTCAGAGTGGACACTGTCAAGACTCTGCCGAGACAGGCTCCTGCAGACAGGACTCTGACGTGGTGGGGGTGGTTAGCAGAACATCTAGAACAATGACTGTGGAGGGGAAAGCCTCGAGGGAGGCCTCCGTACTGAGATGTGTGCAACAAAAGGTCCCTTCTTGCTTCCACTTCTTTACCACAAGGGACAGCTCCTCATGGGGTGCTTCAGTGTTTGGCATTGATAATATCCACAAACTCTGGCTTGAGAGAAGCTCCACCAACAAGGAAGCCATCCACATCATGCTGAGAGGCCAGCTCCTTACAGTTGCTGCCAGTGACAGAACCTAAGGAGGGAGCAGTGTTTTAAGGTCAGATGTGCCAGCTCTATGAAAATGTGGCCAGGGCAAAGGCAGGACTGGCAAGGTACCAGCCACCTCTTACAGACAGCAAGATTCTCCCATTTATCCAAGAAAGCTACCCAAACAAGCTAGAAGATGATTCTTCATGCCCTGAAAGTCAAGAGTTTCCTTGCCAGGGAGAGAATGATGTACAACTGCAGCAACAGGTAGAGAAACGAAGCACTTCCTGCCCTGGAAAGTCACTCCAGACTCACTTACCTCCATAGATAATCCTAGTTGACTGAGCAACAGCATCAGACACGTGGCTTTTCAGCCACCCCCGCAGCTTCTCATGAACTTCCTGAGCCTGCAACACAGCGCAAGAGTCACACTGAGGCCTGAGCCATTCTGCACACAGTTCCCTTCCAAAGACAAGGGAATCTTCAGGAAGGTTTCCTGAGGGAGAAGGGTCAGTTGGTCATTTAATCAGCCACCTCCTTTGCTCATACCTGTTGGGGAGTTGCAGTTTTACCAGTTCCAATAGCCCAAACTGGCTCATAGGCAAGAACCACTTTACTCCAGTCCTTCACATTATCTAGGGAGGAGAGAAGGTAGAGGTAAGCACAGTACCCCCATACTGGGAAGAGCAGAGCTGGAAAATGGCTAAAAAAACCCAAATCAACCATTTCTTTTTCCTCTTACCAGCAATAGCCTTGGTCTGTTCAAAAACCACTTTCTCTGTTATGCCAGCTTCTCTCTCATCCAGCTTCTCTCCAATACAGGCAATGACTCCAAGGCCCTCAGCCAGAGCATGAGCCACCTTCTGTCCAATCAACTGGGAATGGAAAAGAAACAAGGCAGACAATAAAACAGGTTGGAGGTATGTTTTAATTGCTCACTTTCCCAGTCTTTGCAGACCCATTGTAACTGGACCATGTCTCCATTCTATGAGGCCACTCACCTCATCAGACTCTCCAAAAACATGCCTTCGCTCTGAGTGGCCTAGGATCACCCATGCAGCTCCAATATCCTTGATCATTGCTGGGCTGGGGAGAAAGGAGATGACTCACTCAAGGAAATTCACGTCCCAGAGGCATCCTAACTTTATTCTCTGGGCTCACCTGATCTCTCCTGTGAAAGCTCCTTTTGGCACTTTATAACAATTCTGTGCTGCCACTCCAATCTTTGCATCGAGCTTCTGACGGGCAAAGTCTAGGTAGATGGCAGGGGCTCCACAAACCACCTCTGCAAGGCAAAGCAGCTTGTTACCCTTGTGACAGGAGAAGGGCAGAAACTGTACCCAGCCACTGATCCCAAATCCCAGCCCCAAGAAGTCATCCCTCGCTCCTGGGAAGGGACAGCCCGCCCTTCCTCACTGACATTTGGTGGCCCCTCTGCCACAGGGCAATCCCTGCTATCCGATTACTCAACAGCAGGGAGGAAAGCCCTTTCCAGGGAGCTGGACAGCGACACCAGGCCGACGGCCAGGTCACAGAGGTCCCTTGGGAAGTGCCCAAATGAACGATCGCGTGAGAATCCCACCCTGCAGCCTGGCCTGGCCGAACCGGGCTCCGCCTGGGGGTATAGTCGGGCACGGCGGCAGGGAAGGCGCAGCGCAGCTCGGTGCTCCGAGACCGGCGCTCGCAGGGTGCGGGGGCCAGGCCGAGGGGAGGCCCGCGGCCCGCCCGCTCCGCCGGGGTCCCCGGGGGTCGGCCGCACGTGGCGGCCGGGCCCGCAGCAACCCGGATCCGGTTTCGCGGGTATATTTAGCGCCGCTGCCGCCGGGTTATATTTAGGCCCCGCCGCCCTCTGACATTTGGCGCTCCCCCGCCCGGGCCCGGGCCCGGTCCCCGGCTCCGCAGGGCCGTGTGGGACGTGCGCTACGTGCGGGCCGCGCCCTCACCGGTGTCGGCGGAGAGCTTGGCGCTATTCAGCGTGTGGATGAGCTCGCCCAGGCTCTTCTTGTCGCCGTTCATCTTCCAGTTGCCCCCCACGAAGAACTTCCTGGGCGCCATGGCGGGAAGGAGCGGGAGCAGGGGCCGGCACCGGAGGAGACGCGAAGGTCAGCGGCGGCAGCGCGAGCGGAGACCGGCGCCCTTTTATAGCCCGGCGGCGGCGAGGCCCCGCCCCCCGCGTGCCCCGCCCCAGCCCCGCCCCGCGGCAGAGCCCCGCCCCGCCCGCGCGCTCCCGCAGCCAGGCGGGGTCAGACAGGAGCCAGGGGGGAATTTCGGCTTTTATTTTGTCCCTCGTGTATTTTGGCATGTCAAGGGCACACAAGGGAAAGCGCTGCCCGTGGCCCGCCTTGCTGCCCGCCCCACGCCCCCGCCCGGCAGGGCGGGCAGGAGGAACCCCCCCATTCACAAGCCACACGTACACACAAGCCCCCTCCTCTCCTTCCGGACAGCAAGGAGGTGGCATCATCCCACCAAGCAGCGAAGCACTAGGGCTGTGTGTCACGGGGGTGGGGACAGTGAGGACATTTCCTATAGAAACAGATATTCCCAACCCCCCAAACCCCCTTCACTCATGTCCACGGGGGCTCCAGCCCCCAGTCGATCAGTCAGTGAACTCTTGTATCCCTGTGTCTTCCACAGAGAGGCGGTGAAGGGACTGGGGAAAGGAGCAGAGAAGAGAAGGACCCTGCTCCCACCCTCACTGCCCCCACCCCTTTTCCCCCCTGACAGTTTCAGCCCACTTTCCCCCCACCACACACAGCAAGAGGATGTTCTAGCTGGGAATCCGCTGATAGAAGTAGATGTAGCCCAGGTCCTTGGGCGGCTTCTCAGAAGCACAGACTTTCTGGTCGTTGTAGATCACCCACCTGCAACAGACATAAGTGCAGCTCAGGAATGCCATTCATGGTTAAGACACAACTCGATTGCACTCGCCTGCTCTCAGCCCCACGCCCCCAAGACTTCTGAAGAAACAGGGCAGGCTGGGGATTTAAACCAGTACCTCAGTTCCCTTACACTGTGGAAATCCTTACCTGCCATCTTTCTTGATGTGACAAACATAATGTCCACACATAGTTGAAGTGCCCATGTGGCTGATGAAGGCAAACAGCTGATATTCTTGAAAGAAGGAGGGAAGAGATGATTGTCAGGGAAAGATGTCTTACACCCTAACATCCTGTGCAAGGCCCTCTCTAGATAAGGATCCCTGAAGGAAGCTCTGCTACGTAATAATTTAGAAGTGGATCCCCATCAAGTGTGACTGTCAGTGGTCTTAAGGCCAAACACAGAGGGAAATGGGAGATGCTGACTTCCATTTAGACTTCTCTCTTCCAATTTTTTATTTGGGCCATGGCTGCTGGATGGGTAAGGCAGGGATTTTGCCTCCCTATGGCACCCAGGAGCCAAGCACCACTGGCACAAATTCTATGCACAAACCGGAACTACTTCTTTTCAGTGGGAACCAAAAGAGCAAAAAAAGCCTCCCAGAACCACTGGACAAAAGCAGCACAGCCCTTCCTTTCACTTCATGGCCCTTCCCCAACCTCTCTCTTATTGGCTTCCAGGTAACACTCATCCAGCCTGAAGGGTCTAGACTACTTTGCCGTTCCTTCCCTCTTCCTCCCTGCTTCCACGTGTACAACCAGACCAGCTCTGCAGTAGCTGCTGCTGCTAAAACCTGCAGTACTGCATGGATCAGGAATGACAAAGCATGTTGAGTTTGCACCCCAAATCCACATTCCTATGGCTTGGAACTCACTTCCAGGCCCATCGCGCACTTTGGGACCCACAGGGACGGATTCAGAGATGGACTCAGCTGCCGAGCGCCCCTCTGAGATATCCATAGCAGCTTCTGCATCAAGGTCATCGATGTGACTAAAGATCCAATCCACAGCACGCTCCAGACTGTTGTTCTGGAAGGAAGAAGACGACAGTGAACTTGAGAATTCCTGTTCCTGAGAAAATCCTTGCACTCTGACGTCACCCATGCCTCTCACCGTGGCTCTAAGCGCTTTCATTGCCTGGTCCCGGGAGAAGCCCATGGAGACAATGGTGGCCACACTGTCTTCTGAAGGAGGGTCTGGGCAGGCAATAGTTGACCCTGGCCCACTGGATCCAGGGAGAACTAATGGGTTAGCAAAGTCTGCAGCAGGAAACAAAACAGCTCAGAGTAATCAGATCTCTCCAAGAGGGTACAGCCCAAGTCCAAACTACTTCAGTTTTCCACTGTGGTAGTAGGACACAAGAACAGCCCGGAAGCAGCAGTAAGCTTCACCATGCCCACGGCCTCATACCTGGATCATCCATATGTGACATGACCCAGTTCATGGCCGCCTCAACCCCACTATTC